TATGTCTAATAAGTTTCAAATCTAAGGGCTTTCATATGTATTTTATCGAAATCTGATTTTGCACAGTGCTTTCAATTTTATGCCATTCTGTTTAAAGTTTTCAATTGTCCAAAAATCAAACATAAGAATTTCCAGACATCAAAATTTTCTTGATCTACCGAATAAAAAGTTGAATTGTATCTAATTTGTACGCATTGTTCGCTACGGTAGCAGTTCGTCAATTACACACAATCTTATGTGCTTTTAAATAAAAGATACGTTTGTATGATTCCTTTGGACTACATGACTAGCTGCAATGCTTAAAGTTAGTGAAGTTTTTTTTATTGCTATGCAATCCCAATTGTTTAAACATCGCATAATTTTTTTTTTAAAGTTTGGATTATAATATAATTGTACTTGTTACGTAATATTCAAGAAAAAAGGATATAAAATGAAAAAAATAAAGGATAAAAAAAATCAGGATAACATACAATTGGTCATAAATAGGGTGATATAAAATTGGTAATAGGGTGATTTATAATCGGTAATAAAAGCTAAGTGCTCAGGATTGTGCATATGATTTACGCATACACGGTCCAATTTTGATATGCCAGATTGAAAATTCCAGCTGGACAAACATTCATTTCTATCCATTCTCTATTCTATTCTAGGTTTCTATTCATTTCAGAAGCCAGTTAACTTTCAAAATGCCTTTCAAGGTTTATTTTAATATGGAACATTTAATTTCGAATTATTAGAATGATTTCTCAGAAGGTTTGGTAATTGAAATCATTATAGATAACAGTTTTGCAACAGAGAAAATTTTCACTCATAAATATATATCTATATATATAAAGAGAGGTTAACGAAGGAAATTTAGAAAAATAATAATAAATTTCATTTACTGTGCATATGCTATAAGTACATAGAACTTATCAAATTAGTTAAAATGTAGAGAAAATAAGGAAAAAGATATAAATATTTTTTAAAGGAGAAAAAAGAATTAATGAAATTTTTTTTTTTTAAAAAATATTCACAAATTGAAAAAAATTTAAAATTTAAAATTCTTTTTTCTTTTTTCAAATTTTCAAATATTTTAAATTTGTGAATTTTTTAAAAAAAATTATAATTTTTTTTCTTTTCTAAAAAAATCTTCACAACCTTTTCCTTGTTTTTTCTATAGTTTTTTTTCCACTATAATTTGTTGAGTATGTTTAGCGTCTTATTTATTTACTTACTTATTTTCAAAAAAGAGGCAGTACAAGCCTTTCATAATTTATTTTTCATAATTTATTAAAGATTTATTTTTCCCAAACATGAGAGTCTTATCTATCATGTTATGTTAATAATTTAAATAATTGTATTTGGATCTAAAGTGAGAGCACAATTCTTTTTTAAAGCTAAAGTGGTAGGTAGCACTAAGAAATATCCACTTAGTATGAACAGATGTGCATAGATATAAACCCAGAAGTCGTAGTCCCTAACAATGTTGAAAGTGATAAGCGAAATAACAATTAATGTAATTTTAATTTGTATCCTTTTGCCAGCTATTAAACTTCACAGGTCTGATATATTTGTTTCAACTGATTAAGTATAGTTTCAGTCAAAAAAATTATAAAATCAAAAGTAAAGTTGAACATGGAGTAAAAATATTCTGGTGAAATTACCGTACTGTATGGTAGCGACATTTCTTGTAAATAGACATTTAAAACTAAAATATACTGTTTTGAATTATTGATTTGGAAATTTTTCCTTTCATATTTTAATGGTTGCTGAACAAAAATATAGTTCTGATTACCACACGTTTAGCAAAAAATACAAATCTGAAAAATAAATTAAGCAGAACAAATTTTTTTATTGCTATGTTCTAAAGGTATTATGATAAAATCATAAAATTTTACCACATTTACCATACTTCATCTTATACTATAAAGTCATATTTTTTCGTTAATTTTGCCAAAATCATTATCGATTTTTAAATTACCGATGTTTTTGGTGTTCCCTTAGAGCCAGAAACACTGTAAATTTAACCATATTTAACTATATTTAACCATAACCATAACTACGGTAGATTGAGACCATACTTTTTTCTCCCTGTAAATTGTATGGTTTACTACCTTTTGAAATATTCAAAAAGATTCATCGTTTAAACGGGAATTGACATGTATGAATATATATTACCGTTTATTATATAGGCGTTTTTCATATATCGACCACTAATGGTCATATATTGTAGACGGATATGGGTTAAAGCAGTGTTAGGTAAACCAATCATATACAAATAAAAAATTTGCATATTTTCATATTTTTTTAAATTATTTCTAACCAATTCACGGAACATTAAAGGAATACTCTCAGTTCTTTAAAAAAATAAATAAAAGTTATAAATTGCTTGAATTTTTTTTCTCAGTTTAAATTGTACGATTTACTAACTTTTGAAATATTCAAAAAGATCCCCCGTTTAAACGGGAGAAACTGACAGATATGGATGTATACCACTGCTTATTATATAGGTGCTTTTCACATATCGACCACTTTTTATAGCCGGGCATGGGTCAAATTAATCCTACGATTTATTGACTACAAATTAAATGTAGGCATATTTTTATATTTTCTTTATTTATATCAAACAAATTTATGGAATATTAAAGCAATAGTCTTATTTTCCTTATTAAAATAAAATGAAAAGTGATGAATAGTTATGTTTGTGTTCTTAGAAGATGTTACGGTAACATCTGGATTTCGTAAACCTGATAGAGGTCATTAATCTATTATCAAATGCCTAGTTATTTAGAGTTTAAACCATTTAAATGTTTCGAAAATTCCCCAGACTTTTTAAGAATAGAAGAGAAGCGGAGAAGGCATGGCGCCAATCTTTTACGCACTATATAAAGAAGTAAAATCTAGCAAACGATTTTTTTTGACACGTAAAACAATTACTGGCAACGATAAGATCCTTAACTAGATTACCACAATAAAAGAACAAACAAAGCGCATAACTTTCAGTTTAACGTTTTCAAGATCCCGAAATTCTTCTCTTCCTATTTTTAGGAAAAAACATGTGCTAAATGTGTATCCCTATCTTGACCGCTTAAAAGTTAGTTAAAACAAAATTGCGAAAAATATATTTGGGAGGTTAAAACTCAAAAAAATCGTAAAAATATAGCGATTTTTTTCATTATTTATTCATTTTTTAATATTGGCAAGCAAAATATTTTTATATCATAACTAAAAACACGAGAAAGTTTTTAAAACGAAAGTTTTATTACGTTTTTTTTTTTCGTTACATAGAGCGTAAGTGATATTTAAACTTTACGCTCTTTTTCTTCTGCGATCAGTTTTTTCCATTAGGTTTTATCATTAGCTATATAAGGCAGTTTGCCGGTGAACTATTTATTTTGAACATAGCTCGAAAAGCGTGCTTAAAAAAATAGCCCCAGCTCAAAATGCGTGTTTAAGAAAATCAACACAACGCGTATAAGAAAATGGACACAACTCGAAACGCGTGTTTAACAAAATTGACACAGCTTGAAATGCATGTTTAATAGGGATAAAACTTGAATTGTGGGTTACATAAAATTCTCCCCGGTTCGAAAAGGGTGTTTAAGAAAATAAGCACAGCTCAAAACGAGTGTTTAAGAAAATAAACAGAGCTCAAAATGCGTGCTTAAAAAAATGGACACAGCTCAAAACGAGTGTTTAAGAAAATGACCACAGCTCAAAACGAGTGTTTAAGAAAATAAACACAGCTCAAAATGCGTGTTTAAAAAATGGACACAGCTCGAAACGCGTGTTTAAGAAAATGAACAGAGCTCGAAACGCGTGTTTAAGGAAATGGATGGAGCTCGAAATGCGTGTTTAAGGAAACGGATGGAGCTCGAAACGCGTGTTTAAGGAAACGGATGGAGCTCGAAATGAGTGTTTAAAAAATGGACAACGATGCATCTCAAGCGATATATCTATTTTGTTAATTCAATTGTAAAATTAAATTTTTTTAAAAAGCTACTCAAAAAAAAAATGTTAAATGCAAATTAAAATTTTTTTTAAGAGCTACTAAGAAAAAATGTTAACAGCAAATCAATATTTTTTTTAAAAGCTAGTAAGAAAAAATGTTAAATGCAAATTAAGTTCTAAAAAATTTTGGTTAAAATAGATAAAAAATTTAAAGTAAATTTTTTAATGCTTTTAAATATTACATTTCTTCTCAAAATATCTCACATAAAATTTCTGTGCAAATGTATGCAAATTAAATAGTCAAGAGCACAAATTTATTCTTTTCTTCTATTTTTATTATAAATAAACGATTTTGTGCAGAACTCAAATGTTTTGGAAACAAACTTTTCACTTTAATAAACAATATTTTCCAACGCTGCACCAACACTATTTTTTTGTCACTTTTTCCTCAAAATAGAAATTTATATAAAATATACAATTAGAAATTAAGAATTTGATTGGTGCATTTAAAGTAGAACGATCAAACTTCATTCAGTAGGAATGATCCCTAAGTTCGTAAAAAATCGCGAACTGTATTTTATTATTCTTTCAGATTTTAAATTTTTTTTCTAGTTATATTTTCTGAATGAAATATTTAAAATATTGATTCACGGGAAAATTATAAATTGAATCAATCAAAAAATCAAAAGTTAAACAATTAGAAACCATTAGCCGTCGAACTAACTTTCCAAAAGTTGATGAAACTTGGAGCAGACTTCAAAAGCTCCTTGACACAGAACAACCCCATTTTAACCACAACTAAACCAAATATAATATAAGAGGCATAATGCTGATAAATTTAAAAACTTTTTGCGAAGTTAAACAAGTTTAATAATTAGTTTACAGCAAAGAAAATTTCAAAGAATTATTTTTAGTGTTTTGTTTACCAGAACACTTTATTAAAACGATTTTCGCCCATAAAAATAAATGTATACACATTTTTCTAAAAACAACACCTTACAACGAAATGTTATTTGATTTCATCTTACTTATTGATTGCGTTGAAGTTTATAAGTGTATATCTACAAAGCTTCCTATGCATAAGCCATATTTGTTGTTGTTTTCTAGCGAAAGAACCGACAACAAACATGCAATAAGTTTTTCTTTTAAATGAAGTAAAACATATTTCATAAAAAAAAAAAAATCGAAGAGGATATGTTTACGACTTAGGAGTGATTCACCCAATAATGGAAATGCGTTGAAAAAATCTTTCAAAGCAATAACAAGATGAAAGGATAACATGCAAGTTACTCATTGTTTTCGTCGGGGCCAAAGCTCGGAATAGTTTCGTCGTTTCTCACAATAGGTAATTTAGTTCGTTTTTTCCCCAGTTCAGTTCTTGTTTCGTTAACTAAGTTTTTGTTCTCTAATTTTATCTTGGATTAGAAAAGGGTTTGAATTTCGTTTTCTGGAATAAAAGATTTTTTTTGGAGAAAAATGATAGAATTATTCTCACGCGGAGTTCGTTGAGAAAAATAATAAGAAAAAAGAAATATTTATTATGTTTCTTTGAATATATATCCAAACTTTTTCAGCGATTTTCACTACTTATTCCTTTTTTTACATTATTTTTTGTTCATTGCAATAAACATTAACCTTCATATTCATGTTAACACAACTTAAAAGACAAGAAGACTCCAGGATCCAATTATTGAATCAAACTGTCTTTCATTGATTATATTTCCGCTTGCATGTCTTTGGTGGATATTTCAAGATATTTTTTGGATATTTTATACTTTTACTTTAGTGGTATAAATAAACCTTGGGTTAGATCCATTGTCATTAGTTAAGCCGGACAGTAAAAAATTCGGGATCAAATTACGCCAAAAAAAAAGAAAATAAAAGCCGGCGCTTAGAGTATTGGTACTTTTTTACCTTAAAATTCATTTTTACCGGAACATGTTACGGTACAAAAAATCTTATGTACCGCAATTTTAAGAGTAAAAATTATCGTAAAATCACTGAATGACTCTAATTAAATAAAAATTGCAGCATAATATTTTACGGTAAAAATGGATTTTATGGATGATGCTTCCAAGGAACCGGTACTTTCCACTATGATTTCATATGGAATTTTTTACAGTACGTGTAAATGTTTCGTGTTTTCTATGTCTTTTATATATAAAGCAAATATAGATTATATATATAAAAAAAAACACTTTTCTCGAAAGCTTAAAAATGGGATACATTGTAAAAGAGTCCTGAAATATTACAGAAAATCAAGAGCAGCACAGCTCACAGAGATTTTCTGATTCAGTGCAGATTCTGTACATAATAAATTTTTTTTCAATATAACAGAGTAGCATAAAATTCTGTACATTGACGCGAAGAAATTTTACACTGATTGCTAACGCATCAAAATATTATATTTTTCGGATTCGGGGAACGAAGTGATCTCTTTAGAGAACGTACTAACAAACTTCCAAAAAATAATTAATTTATCCTCCTAAATTTAGTTTTATTAATTAAATAATATTTATTTCTTGAAATAAAAGGTCTTATTTATAATTCAATTATTAATTTTTTCACTTAGCGGCTTAAAGGAAAAAAAAAGCAGCATTTAATTCCCTTTCTTCTAAAATAGCAGAAAGTAATCTTATTTTTATATTACCTACGAATGTTTTGAATATATTATTCAAAAAGACTTGCTGCTTTACTAAATGTAATAAATTACAACTGACATAGGTATAATTTTCAAATCTCAAATATGAAGAATTGGTTAAAGAATACTTTAAATTTACAATTTAAATATTATGATATTTTCACATTTTTTTTTCAAGGAATTGTTTTACTTCGTCATGAAGAAAAATGAAGGTGTGTGATTTTGTTTTTAAACTTGTTGAAACACAACTTGTTGAAATACAAACTTAACTTGTTTTTAAACTTGTTGAAATACAAAAATATGAATATAGATGCAGGAAAAAGATTTTTAAAAAAGAAAAAATATTTAATGATGCCGTATAATGATATGTATAATACATAGAGTCGCTGAAAATAATATGCAAGTAAACCAAACTTCTAAAAAGATAAAATAGCACAAATAATGATGCCTTGTAAGGATTTTGTGCACTATTTCTTGAAAATAAAAAGGAAAATAGTATTTAAGTTAAAAAATCTATCTATACACACTGTGAGAAATTAAGAGAATTTGCAGACTTGGTCGACTATCTCTAGAGCTACTGGACTGATTTTAATGAAATTTGATATGTACATACATTGATACAATACAAAACAAATAACCATTCAACAATTGTAATACACACTCATGATCGTGCATAACACTAATCGGAGTCTGTAGGTATGAAATTGCCGCAGGACGATTCAGGCCAATTTGCTACAAGAAATGATAAACTGAGTAATTTCAAGTATGAAATCACGCTGCAAGGTCTGTAAGAGGGGATCATACCCCCTATTAAACGCACGAGCATGAATGTGCATTACAATTGTTGAAGGGTTATTTATATTGTATTGTATCAATGTATGTACAGATCAAATTTCATTAAAATAGGTCCAGTAGTTCCAGAGATAATCGACCAAGTCTGCAAATTCTCTTAATTTCTGACACCAGTGTATTATATATATATATATATTACTTTAGTGGT